ATAGCTGGATTCTGTTAAACCTTGTTTTAAGATAGTCATTGACAAAAATGAAGTTATCAAACTACTGTTTCTGCTAAAACTAATCCATAGATAATGGTCATGAAGTTTACCCAGACAAATGCAATTACAATTGTAGTACTCATCATCATGTTGGATTCAAAGCAAAAAGGTGCTTTAGAGTATATGGGGAGGGAGGAGGTCCTCACATAGTATCTGTCAAACATTCCAGAAATGAAGTATTTAGTTTGAGTTGCCAACAGGATTGTATCATGAAAAATATGAATAATGTTTGATTTAGCATTTATTGCTGAAAAACTATACTTTTTGTTTGCTAATATTTTGTTGGTATTAAAGAACAAGTCTCGTCTGAACATGTAAAAGTGTGCCAGTGTTTGTCCAATCTGTCTTTCAGGCTCTCTAGGCTACTTCTCAGATTGCCGGCCTTAAGACTGATGAGTGCAGCTATCACAGAAGAACTGTTTTTTGCAGGACTAATTGGAAATGTTCAGATTGACAGTATCATACCATATATTCTACGAATGGAGACTGCAGACTACAACTCTCAAATAATTGGTCATACTATATAAAAAAAATTAAACCAGTTTCTATACCATGGCAATCGTGGTGATTTAAATGTACATTATCTCCAAGAGATAAAAAAAGTTTTCCTGTGAAGGCATAGCACAAAAAAATAAAGGAAGGTGCTAATTCTTCTTTAGCAATTCATTTGGAAAACACAATGGAATATCTTCAGTGGTACAAGTACAGGACTTATCTTTTGTCTGATTTTCAAGAACTTTGTACATTTCTGATAATTAGTGAAAATCAAGAAGTGTAGTTCATCTTATTTTTGTAGCTTAGCTATACATGGAACTTGTGAACTCCAAGCAAATACACATAAGTTAACCTTTAATAAAGAGAAGCTTCATAAAAACATTTCAACCTGATACTAGGACAAATAAACTTCTTTTCCAATTGTTCTGGATTCAGTATCTTGTTTCTACAAGTTTACTTATGTCAGTTTCATTTCTGCTTTCATTTCTGATGAGACAGAGTTTCAATTCTGGATAACTCAGCTACTTTTTTCAGAAGTTATTTTTTTTATTCAGAAACAGGTGATTTTGGAGTTACTTAAAACAGGGCTTTATCTCATGTTAGTGTTCCAAATCAGTGATTACATCTTTTGCAGTAATTGTTTTGTTCAGAGTTTTTAGCAGTTGCCAGGATTTCAGAATAAACATAATCCTAGATATTTTATTCACATCAAGAATTGTTATTTCCTAACTCCTGTTATTTATAAACACAAAATAATTTGTTGTGATTATGCTTTAATAATGTTTATCCACATATATCTAGGTAAATTTGGAAAAGTTTATTGAATTTCATTGTATGCAAATCTGTGAAACAACACATTCAGCCACATCCAGTATTGAGCAATGATGCTTACACAGTGTTCTCTCCCTCCTTTTCTATATCCTTGGGTATCCCAGGTTTGCTCCTTTATCTTAAACCTGGAGCAAATTTGGGAAGAATATAGAGAAAATGAAAGATGGGAGTAGAATTTTTCCCTAGATTGATTCTGTTCCACCATCAGAATTACACTACTGAATGAAATTATCACTTTTATTGGAAATGAATTTATTAAATTCTGTGTCCTTTAAGATTTGTTCCAGGTTTTCATAAAAGAATTCAGATAAAATTAGAAAAAAAATCTGAAAAGGCAATAAGTGAATAAACAAGTAAACCTTGATGAAATATATGTATTGCATACTAAATGGTATGTTCCTAAATAGCAGTGATTGCACTAGAATCCTAATTATTTCATATTTTATGTTTCCATGTTTGAGTTTGCTACTTTGTATTTTCAGCTTTTGAAAACTTTTCAAAATGCACTTTTCAGATTTATTAAAAGTGTGGTTTTTCCTTAGTTGTTTGGTAAATGTAGTTGAACATTAATTCAATATATTACTATATCAGGGGATACTGATATAGTGGTGTTCTATCAATTCACCTTACTTTAGATATTCTTAATCAGCAATAGAACCATCTCTATAAAATTATGGGCTCTACTAATAAAAAGGAGTTTATGTAATGTGACAGGTAAGATTATTCAAGGTTCTAAAAATTATTTGACTACAAAGGGATATCTTTTATATATTTCATAATGAAACACCTAATAATGAACTGAACAGTTATTTTTTTTATGCACACAATATATGCATATACGTGGGCACATGCAGAAATTAATCATATCTACAGTTGTGATTGCTTTTGATGTATTTTTGGCAACATCTTACAAATATAACTTGTCCTGTTTTAAAGCATATTTAAAAATCATTTGAATTGCACACCTCCCTAAATGGTGTCTGTAAATCTGTTCTGCAGTCAATAGAAATAGTTTCTGAATTCCATTCCAATCCTTCATTTGTTTTAGTGATTCACTTGTAGTGTACACATCATAATGTCCCAATTACTACCTTATTGTGTAATATACTGTTGTAAATGTCTTTAAATTTAAAGAAGTGTAAATTCTATTTTGGCTGTATTTTAAAAAAATAAATTGTAACTTTTATTATAGAATTTGTTGATTGCATTTTTTTAAAAAAACAGCTCAGGAAACTACATCAATATTATACAGTTCAATGTACAGTAATTCGTGTTTAACACTGCTGAAATTTAACATTGAATGATCACACTGGCTCTTGGTTAGGTTTTTTGCTCACTAGATTACATATGTTTTTTGTCCCCGTTTCTATACAATTTAGTTTGGTTTCCAGTTTTGAGATACACAGTACCAAGTTTGAAAGCGCAGACTTAAAATAATCAATAATCTGAATCTGATACACATTGGGTAATAATTAAAGTTGAAAATGTTATAAAATGGCGATATAAAAGTTATCTTTTGGTTTAAATGTCATTGTTTTCATATTCAATTTTGTATTTGTATTTGAAATTTATTTATAGGTCGCCCTTTTCCCTGGGGGGACTCAGGGCGGCTCACAACTCATGGGGAGGGGGGATACAAACAATAACAAACAATAACACATAAGGGCAATACATAATAAAAAATAGAGCACAACATTCATACCATTCGGGTGGGGGTGAGTTACATTCTTTAACCCCAGGCCTGAATATGGGCAAATTTTGAATATGGTGCAAATGTCATTCTTTTCATATTCAATTTTGTCATGCAAACTAATTGTTTTGCTGTAAAATTGCGCGTTAGATTTGAGAATATCGCCTTTCGCACGCGCAGCCTACTGAAGTAACGCGCGCGAGAAAAGGAGTTTTCCTCGAATCTGCAAAACCAAGGCGCTGCGACGCAGGCGCAGAGAAGCGTAAGGAGGGGCGGAACTCCGCGAGAATAGGGAAAATGGCGGAATATGTGCAGGTGATGAAGCGGGCGTTGCAACAGCTCGGTGGGCACGGCGGTGTTCGTGGCCTTATGTGGCAGCTGCTCAGGTGAAATGTCCTGATTGCGCCAACGTGAGGAACGAGGGCGGGCGGTCCTTTCCAGCTGGGGAGCGCCTTGCTGAAAACTGCGGCTCGCAGGGTTGAATGACATGACCCTCAGACTCAGAGGATCGTTAGAGGAAAGAGTATTTCCAGAAATTCGTGAGTTAAAGCAGAAAAGGGCCGAAGGGAAAACGACCTTCGACGTCCGGAGCGGGCATCTCTCGAGGATGGGAACTAGGGCGACCTTATAATGGCTACAAAGCCTGCTGTTGGGAAGGTCACTGTTGGGAAGCTTTCTCTAACGTTGGGCTCCTCTTGACTGGGGCGTAATCCCTGCGAAAGGACGGGCTCTGTTTATGGCGCGGTCCAAGGTTAACTTTGAGAGATCCCGGCGGCATTCAGTCACACTGCCCCAGCTCTTGACTTCAAGCTGCTCCTTGCCTCTCGACCTTGCTTTTTAACAAGGTTATCGTAACTGGGCTGAGAAACACATTTGCGCTGTTTGTTTCACCAGTGCTGTGGTAAAGTAAGGGATAACAATAGTTTAAATTCAGCGGAGGTGGTTTAGTCACTTAGAGCAGGGGTCTCCAACCTTGGCCACTTTAAGACTTGTGGACTTCAATTTCTAGAATTCCTCAGCCAGCTTTGCCAGCTGGGAGTTGAAGTCCACAAGTCTTAAAGTGGCCAAAGTTGGAGACCACTGAACAGATAATTGATTAAAATTATTCGGGAATAATTTTTCAGGCTGCTACCCAAAACACTATTTTGATTAAACTCATTTGGCAGATAACTTGTTTAGTTGCAAGCAAATTATGTAGAAATAATGCTTCTGCAGTGTTATTTGTGAGCTTTAAAAAATCTAATAAATAATATATTGGGATATTTTTTTTATTTTCACCTTCCCCTAATAGTTTTATTTATTTGGAGCAGCAACTGAGAAATAATTCTTATCCATTTGATTGCCCTAATAAGATATTTGAAAGGTAAAACCAACCAAAGCTAACTTATACAGTAGCATTATTTATCTAACGGTTTTCAGGTTAACAGGATTTCAGATAGAGACTTTCACAATTTATTTGAAGATGGCAGACGTTAAACCAGGGGTCCTCAAACGTTTTAAACAAGGGGCCATCACTGTCCCTAAGACTGTTGGTGGGGGGGGCCTGGGCTGTCTGGGTGAGTGTGGCTAGGTGGGCATGTGACTGGGTGGGTGTGGCCAACTTAGTCCATTTTCCCTTTGTCCTCCCTAAGGTGTATTTGCTTGAACCCAAGGCATCTATTTATTGAATAAGACCTTCCCCAAGGGAAAAAGAGCACACATTTTCTTGCCACTTGTCTAATTTCAGTACAACAGCAGCTTCAGGCTTCTTAAAATAGGCCATTAAAAAAAGAATAAAACAAACAGGATTTCCTTCAAAATAACTCCTGATTATATGTTTCAGAAGACCACACAATAAACCAGACTGAGAACTGCACCAATTAAGATTGTAACTAAAAACCCCAAGATTTGGGAAAGAGAATCACTCTAAAATCCATTAGCATTGCATTTCTTTGAATACACCATATATCTTTATCTTATGTAATCTGGGGCAGATTAATGGCTTCAGTGGGCTGTATCTGGCCCATGGGCCATAGTTTGAGGGCCCATGGGTTAAACTCAAGACCTTCTGCATGCAAAGCCTGTAGAGTAGACTGTCGCATAACTATAAACCCCTTGAAGAATCTTATTTTGGATATTCACAGGGTCAATGATCTGAAAATTGGTACCCTAGTAGGAACTGATAAGTATGGAAACAAATACTATGAAGACAAAAGATACTTTTTTGGTAAGTAAGAATACTTGGATTATTTGAATTTGAGTCTTTTAACATATTTACCAACAATGAAAGTATTCTTATATCTTATGTGGATATAATTCAATTTGATGTTAAATAGAAAAGCCAATAGCAATAAGAAGTCATTGTTGCCACAACAGAAACTTGGATTTTTGCTCAAATAAAGATATTTAAAAATGGGTTAAATAGTATTCAGTCTTTTGGATGTCTAATTCAGATGTTGATCTTGCTTTTCTGGCATTATTTTAGCTTTAAGAAGTAATTTTACTTTTTTTAAAAAGTTCATGCATAGAAAAAATAGTGTTTTAAAACATGTATGTATTTGTTTATTCATTGTATATGGCTGCCCATCTCACATCCTGACTCTAGACAATCACAATTTTAAAATAAGTAAAAATATATACAATTACTAAAATAAACTTAAAAATTAATCACAGATAAAATATGTGGAGTTGAAGAATCATAAAAAATGTTCAACATAGTCAGGAAATCATACAGGAGGAAGGGGGGCAGGCTTAGATAGTGAATCTCAAGAGGCATGATGTTCCAGAGGCAGAATGGGGACTACTTAGCTTATGGAATCCACAACATGCCTCTCCTGTGGGGTCAGATAGGAAGGGTAGAAACAATTAGGGAGACACAGACCTGCAATTTAATTAGAAGAATAATTCATACATAATGATTATATTGATCACCGGTTCCTTGGTATTGCAAAATATTGTACTTATATTTCTCATACAAATAAAACTGTTAAGGGAAATTTAATCTTAAGAGATGTATAAGCTCCAGCTTTGTAAAATAGTAAATAGTTTATATCAAAATTAGAAGTATAAACAAATAGTTTATCTTATAGAAACCAATAGGTATTTGTGCTTGTAATTCCATTTGAAATTTTACCATTAGAAGTTATTTTTTCCTATATAATAGTTATTTAAAATGCTAAATTAAAATTTTGGTTCCTGGGAAGTCATAGTAAAAAAAAATCTACATATGAATGAATCTTTTGGTTTCTAATTATCCTTTCTTTTCATATGTCAAGCTAGTCCTTCTCAAAATTGAGAATAGAAATATAAAGGTAAAGGTTCCCCCACACATGCATGCTAGTCGTTTCCGGTTCTAGGTGCAGTGCTCATCTCCGTTTCTAAGCCGAGGAGCAAGTGCTGTCCGAAGACGTCTCCATGGTCATGTGGCCGGCATGACTAAACACTGAAGGTGCATGGAGCGCTGTTACCTTCCCACCAAAGTGGTCCCTATTTTTCTACTTGCATTTTTTACATGCTTTTGAACTGCTAGGTTGGCAGAAGCTGGGACAAGTAATGGGAGCTCTCTCCATTCCGCAGCCCTAGGGATTCCACAAAACTTGATTTTGTGTAATTCTACGAGAATTAGTTTGTAATAATAAAATAGAATATATAAATTCATCCTGTTAAAAATTCTGATATACTTTTTAAAATTGTTATCTTTAAGGTCGTCATAGGTGGGTCATATATACTGCAGAAATGGATGGCAAGAACACATACTGGGATTTAGATGGAAGCATGATACCTCCTGAATGGTAAATCAGATAGTTTGATGCATACATTTATTTATGTTTTTATTAACTTGTAAAACAGGTATATCAGAACAATTCTGTTTATAAAGTAAATTAATTTGAGTCTTTTAAACTATACCTTCGTCTCTAATCCTTTACCAACAAATGTGTCATAATGGATCCTCATGGTAATTACATTAGATCAGTGAAAGTGTTAGGTTCAAACATCACTATAAATGCATATTTATTATTGGAAACTGACCAGTGTCTTTGGAATTTTGTTTTATTTACTTGTAGAGTGATTGGTAGCATTCTGTTGAATTCAATTGCACCATCATTGATAAGTTTTAAATATTACATGAACGTTTTATGAATAAATTAAATACTACATTTTCCTATTACTTCAATGGGAAAAATTCTTATTTAATAATAAGCATTTTGCTACTTTTATTTAATTTTATTCTTGTAAGAACTTGTTCTATTTTTTAAGATTTGCTTAGTATTTATGGTACATTATGCTAAGTTGTAAGGTTTGCATATTTTAAAAAATGCTTTGGAAGAAAAGTTTTGGTTAAAGCAAGCCTATGTTTTTCAGTCTTTCACTGAAGCCGGGGGGGGGGGGATCTCTAAATTTTTGTTTTCATGTCGAAACAGTACTGAGAATTTAAAATTAAATGCAATGAATAAAATAAGCTTTGTCACTCTGGATCCTTGATATAGTCATTAGCACTTAGCACTTAGACTTATATACCGCT